ATAAACATACATATAAAACCATTTATATATACATATAAAACCATTGTTTGGGAGGCATCACTAAAAACCTTGTCTTGGAGGTCCAGCAGATGGTGTAATAGTTACTACACTGGACTCCCACATGGCTGACCACAGTTCGAGTGCTGTCCCCAGTGGCTTCAAACTCATGCTGGGTGCATGTGCACACGTGCCCAAAATCCCAAGAGGAGAATGGAGGAGAAAGGACTGCGGGTGGCCATCCCCCCAGACAGTGATTTCTCACTTTCTGTTTCTCTGTCTCTCTGGTGAGTGCATGCGCCCTATAGCAAAAACCTCTCCAAAAACAAACGAACAAACAAAACAAACAAACACAAAATCTTATCTTGGTTGTTACCTTTCATAGAGGCCAAATTATGATCGTTATTGATGTTCCATGGCTAGGCTTCCTAGGAAAACATCTATCTTTACAAATTCAATTTTATAAACCAACCATACAACCCAGCCCCAAAGAAAAACAGAAATAGAACTGATAGACTGTTTATAGAGACAGATGATTGACTGACAGATGACAGAATTAGTTCCGAGGACGCGGCTCACATGCTGACGTTGCGGGCCCACTCCACAAGCAGACTCCAGGCAGCCCTGCTTCTCTTCTCAGTGGACTGGCTGAGCCCACTCACATTCCACAGCTAACCTGCTCGAAGCCTGCTGATTTAAGTGCTAATCACATCTAAAAAAATTTACAGTGGAGCCAGCAATGGCATAGTGGTTGGGGCACTGGACTCACACATGGACGACAGCAGTTCAAGTCCCAGACCTGATGGCTTCAGATCCATGCCAGGCACATGTGCATGCGTGCCAAAAATCCTAAGCGAAGCATGGTGGAGAGGGGATTGCAGCAATGTGGCCATCCTCCTCTGGGGAGTGATGTCTCACTTTCTCTCTCTGTCTCTATGACAACAATAATATATATATATATATAAAATTACAGCAACATTTAGACTAGTGTTTGACCCAGTAGATGGGTACTGTGACCTAGCCAAGTTGACACAGAAAATGAGCACTCATTGTCTTCCCCACACCATGGGTAGAACTTGAGCCAGTCTGAAAGTGGTATATTCGAGGACTGGGGGAAGGGGGTAGGAGGCAGAGGCTGCTTCAGCAGAGGCAAGCTCAGGTCCCCACACCCTTTCAGGACGACTTGGCCATTTTACAAGGGAGCAGAACCAGGGTCCTCAAGAGCCAGGGGTGGGTCAGGGTGCAAATCCAGCCTCCCTGAGTGGCAGATCACTTTTACCTCTTTCCAACACAACTGTGAGTCTCAACTTGAAGACGTTCTCATTTCACTTCCTGTTTATAAGTACAGCCAGCTTTGAGCTCGTTCAGATCATAAACTCTGAGAGAAGAAAATCAGCTTCTCTCCCGGCAAGGCTTCCCAGTCCTCTCCCCAACCGTATAGCCTCCCTCACGAGAGGCCCCCACCACGCAGACACATCCACCGAAGGACTTCTCTTTGAAAAGTGCTTTATTTCAGTAAGATCTAAGTCAGGTGCATTAAAACATATCAAAATGTTACAAAAAGTTAGCTCCCTACTGAGGTCTTGTCAAATTCTGTTACGATGCCTAACGCATCCATGTGTAAGTCAGAACCAAACATCGAACCAGGCCAGGTACCATCACTGCAGGGCAAGTTATGCTTAAGAAAAGAAGACTTCACGAAGCTAGAACAAGTAAGGAAACCCTAAGAAACACTAGCAATTACACACCAGAAACCATCGGCCTGGAATCAGGCCTGCCACCTGCAGGGGAGACCCCAAGGATAAACCGAGGCGGTTCCTTCACAGCTTGTGCATGTCTTGTGCTCAGTTCAAACACGAGGGGGCGCTTTAACCTCTCATGACAGGGTACAACTTTCAATCTCATCTGAAAGAAGGGGTGCCACGTTTGTTTTTCCTTTTACCTTTCTACGAGGCCATATCTCATCCCATCTGAGTCAAGCCAAGACACGGTGTAAAACAGTTTAAGTAGAAATGTGGAAATGTGTGCTCCCCTATCGGGAATGTTACGGAGGGCCCCTGTGCCCTTTCTCATCCCCCATGCCATGGTTCGGCCATTAGGAGACACTGAAATCTCCTTGTTCATATAGAAATTTCTCTTTTGAAGTCCTATCTATGACACATGTTACAGAACTTTGAGAGAAAATGTGGCTGTTTTGTTGTTTAGAAGAGAGCATCTCTCCATCTTTTCACTTTTGTTTTGGAGAGTTTCTTGTTTTTTTTTAAGTTTTTGTTATATGTACATGTGCTCACCAGAGAGAGAGAGAGACAGGGAACATGAGAAATCACCCTACCCAGGATGGATGGCCATGACACAATCCCTCCCCATTCTCCTCTCCAGATTTTGGGCACATACCCACACAAGCACCTGGTTTATTTTCTAAACCACCAGGTCCGGGACTCGAACTGCACACTCAGCCACATGCCATTCAACTGCCTTAACCACCATGCTATCTCGCTGGCCCAAAAGAGCTTTTCTTTTCTTAAGAGAACTTCTGGCCCTCCTGTGACCTGTTTTTCCTTCACCCTCCCAACACTCTGAAATGACCACCCAACTTCACAGAAATCTTGCCAAGACACTTCTGCGTGCAGAACAGATTTGGGGGGTCATTATGTTGCCAGGTATGATCAGATGGCATTATCTGGAGGTTTGCAGATGAGGTAAAAAAGGAGAAGAGGATAAAAATATTTCTCCTGGAAGCACCAGAGTGTCTTAGACCAAAACCTCAACCTCGGTTCTCAGCATGTTTTGGGGGATAGGGGTGAATCTCACCTCAGCCTCAACTCAGGGCTGACGTCTGTCCAGCCTGGAGAAACAGTGTGTACACTCGTCACCCACAAGCACAGGCAAGCCTAGTGTTTGTGCTTTCCAGCCCCCCGCCAAGGTAACGCCACACCTCCCCTCAACCCCCGCCATGAAGTCACCCTTTCCCCGTGATCGCCAAAAATGTGACCTTGTGCTTAATTCCACTACCTCAACCACACAAGCTCAGGTTCTCCCTTCACTTGATCACCTTGTAATATAAGCCCCGGCAGAAAAAAGCCAGATGTGGCTAAATTGTTTTCACAAGTTGGAAGAAGAAAATCTTATAAATTGGTCTTCTGTTCTTCACATGATTTCAGGTTCATTGCACACAATTACATAAACCCACACAGAGCGCAGCCCAGGAAGTTCAAAGCTGCGAGGCCATGTGATACCAGTGAGAAAATCCGGTCTACACTGGCAAAGTGTCTTTGTTTCAGCCGCTGCTATTTCAAAGAACTTTCCCAAAATTCTGCTCGGGTAATTAGGACTTGAGAAATGATCTCTAAACAGGGCGGGCCAACACGGACAAATGCTCCTGAATGAAGTGGAAGTGCATCGTGTAAGATGCGGGTCCCCTTTACTTCCCTCCCCTGAACCTCCACTTTCAAAAAGCCAAGTCTATCATAGTATCACTTTCTCAGAAAAAGATCTGGCAAACGGGGTCTTTTGCAACATTTCCATAGTTAACACTACCATCGTGTTAGTAGAAATGAAAGATAAATTTCATAAATCAGAAGGAGCTGTCCAATGGGAGTTAGTGATTAGTCGTTTCCTGTGTGGAAATTCTTCCTTCCAGTCCTCCAAGGAGAACTATTGGGGCCAACATAGGCTTTGAACATTCAAGATAAAAATAACTGGAAGTGAATTCTCCTGATCATCGTTCTTAATGCAAAACTCAGGAGGAATGTCCGCGTTCACAAGGCTGCTCTTTCCCACCTGGAACAAAAAGAAACCTCTCCCCACTCCTATCTCCCACCTTCCGTTTTTGTTTTCCCAATTCTGTGCAATTTGCAGAAGCCCGCTGAGGTGTTCAATTGGAATTCAGCCCCTCTGCGTTTCCACTGCACGCCCCACAGGGCTGATGGTGCTGTCCCCACGCAGGACGTAGGATTGCTAAGAGACCCTGGCAGTGTGCCATCTCTTTGCAAGATCACAGCCATGAGTCTTCCAAAGAGGTCACAGAGAAGGCCGCAGATGCAGGGCAAAGGGGCAGGGTGAGTAGAAGGGGATCCAGGTGGAAATGGCTCTACCGTAAAGGTCCACCTTCCTCTGAGAGCACCCACCAGTGGCTCTCCTTCCCAGCTGGAGAGGAGGCGGAGAGGAGATCGGGAGTGCCCAACCCCAGTAAACTCAGAGAAGATCCTGCCGTGAGGAGTTCCTGTCTTGCTCAGTTACCTCTGCAGCCAGACAGCCGGCTGGATCTGTCGGTCCCTCCTTAAACTGTATCAGCTGCACAGTGCCCAGCTGGCTGGCCCTCTTTTCTGGTGGGAGGCAT